CTACAGTGATCACAAACACAACATTGATATAAATGGAAGTTTATCATTCAGATTTCAATAGATTAGTTTGTTACATTGTCCGGAGGCCGTAGGGGTGAGGTAGGTAGGAAAAATGTGTGAGGTGGAGATCAGAGAGAGAGGTATATGCACAGCCAATACGAGGCAGACTAGCAGCGAACACCTCCCAGCGTGTGAGCGGGGGAGCAGTGGCACGACAGCGTTCTCACTCCCACGGCTGACACACAACTGTTATGCCCCCTCCACCTCCACCAAGGCACCATCCTCCCCCCCCCCACCCTCCTCCACCTCCTCCTCGTCCTCCTCCCAACACCACCTCACTTAGGGCGGTCCTAGCGGCTCCCTTGCCACGCCTCCTCTTAACCTCGCCTCCCCCTCAACCACGCCTCCCCCTCAACCTCGCCACCCCCCTCAACCACGCCACCCTCAATCTCGCCTCATCATAACCACACTTCCCCTCAGCCAAGCTTCCTCTTAACCACGCCTTTCCTTAATTAAAACTCTCCTTAACAACGCCCTCTGCCAATTACACCTCCCCTCCTTCCACCTCCCCCCCCTCCTTTACACCTCCCCTCCTTCCCCTCCCCTCGCTACACCTCCCCTCACTACACACTCCCCCTCCTTTCTTACCTCCCCTCGCTACCTCCCCTCCTTTGCACCCCTCGCTACACCTCCCCCCCTCCTTTACACCTCCCCTCCTTCCACCTCCCCCTCCTTCTACCCCCTCGCTACCCACCTCCCCCCTCTTCCCCACCTCCCCCCCTCCTTCACACCTCCCCTTCCTTTACCTCCCCTCGCTACACCCCCCTCCCTTCACCTCCCCCTCGCTACACCCCTCCTTCCCCACCCCCTCCTACACCTCCCTCCTTCCACCTCCCCTCCTTCCCCACCTCCCTCCCCTTTACCCACCCCCTCGCTACACCCCCTCCCACTACACCCCCTCTTCCCCACCCCCTCGCTACACCTCCCCCCTCCTTCTACACCTCCCCTCCTTGCTACACCCCCTCCTTTCACCCCCTCACCTACACCTCCAGTCAACTACACCTGGATAGTGTCTTCAGCACCACTAATTATAAACAACTAATTAGAGTAGCCAATGTGCATGCATCTTCCCCCCCTCTACCCCTCTCTTCTTCCTTCCCTTCATGTGTGTGTGTGTGTGTGTGTGTGTAAGTGTGTGTGTGTGTGTGTGTGGTGAAGCCTTATAAGCCAGTGTTTCCTTCTTGGTCTCTCGTCTTCTCCCGCTCCCCTCACTTGCCTCCCCTCATTTGTGACGTCTCCCCTCACTGCTCACTTATGTCTCCCCTTATTATTTATTCTATCTCCCCTTCTACTGCTTACCTGTGTCTCTACCCTCACTCTCTACCCCTCCTCATTCCTTGCTCTTTCCCCTCACTGCTTACTTATATTTCCCCTCGTTTCTTATTTATTTACTTGTCGTTGCTTACCTGTATATTTCTATCTCCCCTCTCACTACCTTGTTCCAATGTATCTACCCTCACTTCCTAACTACTACGTCCCCTCACTCCCTCATTCCCTCACTCCTTAACTACCTAACTAGCCACAGATATCTTAACTACCTCGTATTCAAACATTATAACCAAGCTTAAGGTGACATCATTCTTCAAGTACTTCTCCTCACGGGTTCCAAGACTACGCAGAAAGTACTCCCCGTGAGCTTAAGCTTGACAGTGTACTCTCGTCTCAGTTAGATAGGATGGTTAAGCTGTTTTGAGAGAGAGAGAGGGGGTGGGATGGTTAAGCTCTTTTGAAGAGAGAGAGCTAAGGGTTGTCTTGTGGGCAATGTTCAATGGCGTGTTAAGGGTTGAGGAGGATTTTTTAAAGGGTGTTAAGGGGTGGGGAGAGTGTGTTAATGGGGTGTTAAGAGCTGGGGTGTGTGTTAAGGGTTGGGGAGGATGTGTTAAAGGGTGTTAAGGGGTGGGGAGAGTGTGTTAATGGGGTGTTAAGGGGGGTGTGTGCTAAGGGTTGGGAGGTGTTTAATGGGGTGTTAAAGGGTGTTAAGGGGTCAGGGTGTATATTTCTGGTGGTGGGTCGTGGTAGTCGTAAACACTTGTAAAACGACCACCAGGGGATTGTGGTAGTCGTGAACGAAGTCGTGAACCCGTGAACACCAGAGGATTGTGGGTAGTCCGCCACCAGATTGGATCGTGAATGAGTCGTCACCAGGGATTGTGGTAGTCGTGAACACCAGAGGATTGTGGTAGTCGTGAATTTTAGTCGTGACACTCGTGAACACCAGGGATTGTCGGAACACCAGAGGATTGTGGTAGAGAACAACTAGAGGATCGTGAACACCAGAGGATTGATCTTGTGGTAGTCGTGAACACCAGGGATTGTGGTAGTCGTGAACAGAGGATCGTGAACACCAGGGGATTGTGGTAGTCGTGAACAAGGATTGTGGTAGTCGTGAACACCAGGGGATTGTGGTAGTCCACCAGAGGAGGTAGTCGTGATTGTGGTA